AAATATAAGACCCATTTCTCATATTTATCAATTTTTTCTAAATTACCTCTATGGATACCCCTCAACCATAGTCAAGTAGAAGAGGAAGATGAGGTATTAAAAAAGATGATTATGGTGTTTTAGGAAAAATATGTCACTTTTCTTATAATTAACTAACTTACCTAACTTCCTTAATCTAATCAAATTAGTTAAATGGGTCTTATATTAAGGACCGGAGGAGTATTAATTTTTTTTTAAAGGAGACTTATTTGTAATTTTGATTGCAGTTATTTGTGGTTTTAAGGAATAGTTATTTTTAATTTTAAGAATATTTATGTCTAATTTTTACCCAGTAATGTTAAAATTACTAGCTTCATAACAAAGGGCAACACAAGATTGCCACAAAAATTTTCAAATTTTAGGGTAATGACGTCACACCAACATAAAACTTAGGATACCCATGCGAAAATACTTTATGGATAAAAATGTCATTTTAACCCGTAATAAAGTTATCATAAACAAGCAAATGTTAATAGGAAAGGAAAAGGACGCATAAAATAACGGTAGGACTTAGGAGTTGAGGAGAGAGATGAAAGGAGAGGAGTAAAGGTAATAGCAGGGAATTGGAAAAATGCAGAGAAGGCGAAGAGCAATTGTCATACTTACGGTGGGCTTAGTATGCCTAATGATTACCCTAACACAGTCTGAAACTGAATCTATACCAGTGGGAGTGATTCTGGATTCGGATTCATCCCTTGGTTCCATGGCTCTCAGCTGCATCAACATCTCACTCCGTGATTTCTATTCCACGCATGATTCTAATTCAACAAAGCTCCAACTTCATTTCAGGGATTCCGGAAAGAATCTCACCACTGCAGCTTCTGCAGGTAAGTGCGCCTCCTCTGTGAACCAATAATGATGTTTATATCCAAAAGAGGTGACAAAAATAATGAGGTTAAGACTTTTTTTTTTGGGTTAATGTTTGTGAACTTGTTAGAAGCTCGAGCTTTGTTTCTTCCTCAATCTTTCTTTTTCCTGATGACATGGAAACTGAATTCCTGATCTCCCCACCCCCTTCCCCCCGTTTGGGGGGGGGGGGGAAGAACCATCTTTTCTGTCTTTCCTCTGCCTCTCTTTCTCCCTACCCCTCCTGTACTCACAATTACACGGTTTTGGATGTTAAAAATAGAGGCTCAACACTTCTTTTTTAAAACCCAACTTTTATCATTCTAAATCTTCTTTCGTAACATTCAGTATTTTAAAATAATTTTTAGTACGTTTAATATTTTAAAATATTTTTCTAGCCGCACTCTAAAATATGTTTTAATAGCACTTACTGTTTTAAACTAATTTGAAGATAGTAAGTGTTATTAGAAACATAATATTGAGACTCAATACACCAAAAATTATTTTAAAATATTAAATATTACTAAAAATACTTTAAAATAATAGATGTTGGCCTGGAAATAGTATTCAGCCTCCATTTTTACCTCCAAAATGGTATAGTTTGAGGTAGGGGATGGAAAGGATAGACCGTGGAAGTTGGTTCCCTAAAAGCCCAAATTGGTTTGACATTTTTCATATTTCTTTTAAGAAAAATTAATCTTTTAATTTTTTAACTTTTTAATTCACTAAATTTAGTCGGTGTCATTCAGTTCTTGAATTTTTAATTTGCTTAAAATTTGATGTTTAATCTTTTTATCATTTAAAATTTTGTCCATATCATCCCCAGCCCGTTACGAGTGTAGTATTAACCCATGTTTAGTATGAGGAAAATAGAAGAGAGGGAGGAAAAAAAATTTAATAAGCTTGATTTAAAAATTAGAAGAAGTGAGGTTTTAAATTTTTTTTTTAATATAATACAGAATATCCTCAAGTAAATTTGGGTTTGAAACTAATCTTTATCGGGTTAAGAACGTTAATATTAAAATCTTTCTAATAAGTATATTTTTTTATATTCGAACTTGTATTCTTCTTTTTATAGAGGTGGACCGATTAATATCCCAATCAACAATTTGTTGGCTGAGTTTTAAAATTTTAATAAAAAGAAGATGTAAGATAAACGACTAATAAAATTTAATTATATAAGCTATAATAATAGTGTTAAAATTGCTTACGTGGCTCCATAACAATCTGCGGGTGAAGGCATTGAACTTATCCATCATCTTCATCTTCTCTCTACATTCTCTCTCTCTACTTGTCCCTCTCCTCTAAGAATCCTGCTTCAGATCTTCCATTGAACCAACCACAATCTTTCGGTCTTTCCTCTCTTCTTCACTCTTCACTTTTTACTTTTCCTTTTTCTTCCCCTTTTTGGATCCTCCTCACGCCAGTCAACTCTGTTCTCTCATTTTCATCAACCATTCTTTTTATCAAGGTTAAGAAGTACTCCTCCGGTTCTAATTATAAGACCCAATTGACTTATTTGAGAAGATTAAGGAAGTAAGTTAAATTGGTTATTTATAATAAATAAGTGTTGTCATTCCTAAAATATCCTTACTAATTAAGTATATTGGCTAAAACTATCATTATTAGAAGAATTATCTTGGAAAAAAATGCATAAATATAAGAGACAAAATGGATTGGGTCTTATAATTAGGACCAAATAAAAAGTCAAATTGGGTCTTATAATAAGGACCGGAGGAGTAGTATTTAATATCTTAAAATATTTTTTAGCGCATGCATTTAAGATCTTAAAGTAATTTTGCAGGTGCGTCTAACATGGTAAATTATATTTTTGATGGATCCAACATCTTAAAAGTTTTTTTTCACTTATATCTAATATTTTAAATTTTTTTTGGTTACATCTAGCACCTTAAATTGGTAAGTTTAAAATTGTAAAAAACAAAAAAATTTAGATTGCTGAATCTACTTGGAAAAAATATTTTAGTACGTTAGATCATAGATGTAACGCAAAATGCTTTAGGCTGCATGGACCTTTACAAAATACTTTGACTCTGCTAATAAAAAATATGAAATTTTTGTCGGGGGGCTCGTCAGTTCTTCAACCTACCAGATTTAGTTTAAAGTTTAAACTAGGACATTTATACAGAGCAGTCTAGATAAATTCAATGGATTACTATCATATGTTGCGTTAAATGTCGGTTGTGGGTCGGCATTCGTCGCCAGATTTATTGTCGCCTTTTTAATCCTCTGTTTGCGTCTTCGTCCATTTCAAATCCCACCTTTGTTTCCTCCAAATTTTATGTAAAATCCACGTGGAAATGAGTTAAAAGCCATCTAAGCAAAATTTTTAACGTTATTATCGATATATTTTTTTTGTCACGGATGACTCAATACTGACTTATTATGAGTTATGGATGATAAAAGAGCGCATATCATATTTTAATTTTGTAATCTGGCATCCGTTAATAAGCAGCTCGAGATCTAATTAACAAGGAAAAGGTGCATGCAATCCTGGGACCTAAAAATTCAGAGCAAGCAAGGTTTGTTGTAGAGCTTGGTAACAAGTCTGGTGTACCTGTGATTTGGTTTTCTTTATCTGGTCCATCTCTTTTGCCGCCTCGTTCCCGATTCCTCATCCATTCCATCTCCACTGGAAGCCAGTGCTCTCAGTTCGAAGCTATAGCAGCCATCATCCAAGCTTATAATTGGCAATCTGTGATCCCCATTTATGAAGAGCCAGAATTCGGCAATGACCTCATTCCATGTCTCTCTTATGCCTTGCAAGACATGGACACTCGAATGCCTTATACAAGTTCCCTTCGTCAGGATTCCTCGGATGATCAAATCACCCAAGAGCTTAAAAACATAAAAGGCAACCGAACATATGTATTTCTTGCCCATATGACCGTAGACCTTTGGTCAAGGCTATTGAAACGTGCACAAAAGGAAGGGCTGATGAGTGAAGGATACGTTTGGATACTTACGCAAGGCCTATCTTCTGTGCTAAATCCCGAAGCTCTAGATAAGAAGGCGAAAGGCTACATGGATGGTGCTTTGGGTGTGAAGCCATCATTGGATGTTTCCAACATAACTAAGCGCGCTTCCTTAGCGACAACATTAAAGTCCAAGTACGGTAAAACTCTCTCTCTATATGGCCTATGGGCTTATGACACTATCACAGCGTTGGCCAATGCGGTAGAGAAGGCCGAATTAGTTAATTCTGCTTCCAGATATAGGATTCAAAGCGGAGTTGATCTTCGCAATGAAACAGGCCCAGAACTTCGCAAAGCAATTCAGGATACTGATTTCCAAGGCCTATCAGGAGATTTCAATTTGAGCCAAGGACAACTAGAAACATCACAAATTGTAGTATACAATGTGAAAGGCCAAAATGAAAGCATCATTGGACATTGGAGCCCCGAAAATGGCCTTAAGCTTATTCACAATCAAAGTGAAGGTAACGCAACGGAGAGACTGGCAAAGTTGAAAATTGGGGTCCCAAGAACGCATTTTACTGAATTTGTTAATTACTCGTCTGATCCTGAAGAAGGGCAGAATAAATCAGCTGCCGGTGGCTTTGCTGTTGATGTGTTCAAAAGAGTGGTTGATGTTTTGCCATTTTCTCCATCTTATGACTTTGTGCCCGTAAACATAATGGAGAGCAGACTCCCTCGAGCTACGATGATCTTCTCTGCCAAATCAAAAACAAGGCAAGTTTCCATTCATTTTTGTTGCTTTCAATTGTTTTACTTTCATCAGCCTCCCTGTTTCTCAGTTTCTAAAGGAAAGTCTTAGGCATAATATTGGTATAATTTCATTGCTGATTATATTCCCCTGAAGCTTGGATACTCTCAGGCATGGAACTAGAAAATATTGATAAGCGGTTCCCAAGGTACAAATAAAAATTTTAATGGGGACAGAGCTAAGAATTCCTTTCCAAAAATTAATCTTATCTACATGCGTAATCCATGTATATTACAAATGAAGCAAAAAATTTTAGCTGGGGCAGCTGCATATCATTAGTGAGCATGCTGGCCACAAACACAACACGCATTTATATAGGCGGGTGTGTGTGTAGGGATTCATTTCCAACACTTAATCTGTGTTTGAAAATATTGCAGAATCTTGATATTATAATTGGAGACATTACAATCGTAGCGAGTCGCACAAAATGTGTTGATTTCACAGTGCCGTATTTAGATTCAAGCATGGCAATGGTGGTAAAGGTGAGGTCCGACTCCAAAAATGGGTGGATTCTCCTCACACCTTTTGATCGGTTACTATGGTTAATTCTTGCTGCGATTTTTGTGGGTGCAACTGTTATTGTAATTCTATTGGAAATAAAAACGAAGCATGATGTTGAAAGCAAATTCAAACACTTTGTCCGCAATCCCTTCCTCATTTACATGAGCGGTGAGTTCTCTTTTGTCGTTCGCTATTGATTTTATATTATTACTACTCCCTTCTTTCTTATTTATCTGTCAAGGGGTAGTGTCTATTTGACACACTCAATTATGGGGTGTGTTATCGATGTTTCTTGTGTGTGATGATTCCAGATGTTGAGTTTTTGAAAAGTGGGGCTTCTAAGTGGGTGGTGCTAGCAGTCACGTTTCTGTTGAGCATAGCAGTGCAAGTTTACACAGCAAATTTGACGTCAATTTTAACAGAAAGGACAACGGCAAAGCCTTCTCCATGGAAGGACTTGCAAGAGATCAAAAGGAACAGTCGGTTAGTGGGATATTAATGCGATTCCTGGGTGAAGAAGCTTCTGACTGACCAAATAGGATTGAAGGATGATCAGTTAAAGCCTTTATGTCGTGAAAATTACAGTGAAGCAATATTATCAAGAGGAGACAAAAAAGGTGTTGATGCTATTTTTGATGAAACTCCTTATCTCATGCTCTTCCTTTCCCATTGCTCTTCTTGCAAGATGACAGGACCAATCTACAAAGGCGGTGGATTTGCCTTTGTGAGTACTGTTCTTCTCTCCCTAATATTCCTCATGGCCTGTAAAACTTTGATGATGTACGATGTTGTTGTATTTTCAGGCATTCCCAAAGAATTCTTCCTTGGTCTCAAGTTTTTCAGCTGCAATATTAAACGTGACCCAAAATGTGATGAAGTTTCGTGACATGAAGAACAACATATCCTTACCCGTCACCATTGACAAATCTGAATATAATAGTGATGTTGAGACGCGAGGTTTGACGAAAGACGACTTTGGAGGCCTTTTCCCCATAGTATACTCTGTTTTAGCTCTCTTCTTCAGCATTTCAATTCTGAAAGCTCAGTGGCTGCAAAAGAAATGGATTACATGTTGGACAGTCCGCGGCGGAGGAGTTATATGCTGAGTCGCTAGCCAAAGACATCTGTGAAAATCAGTATGTTATTTTGATTGTGACTGAAATTAAAAGTTGAAGACCTTTTGATTGTGACCGGGAAAAAACAAAAAGAAATCCCTGCCTCTCCTATCTGTTATTTGGTAATGTATAATCCATTAAGTTCTCTCATTTCTCTCTTCTGTTCACTCAGTTTGCTCATCATGTTTTCAGCTCAATATCCACCCCACACACATATATAGGGTTGGTACATATATCTTTTGAATTGCCAATAATAACACTATTGCATTAAATTAGTACATAGAGGAAGGTAAAGAACACAATTTTATGGCCTGTATGGACTTAAAATGATTGACCTTCATTTTATTCTGCAAACTCAACTTTTTTTGAATGAAAAACGATATATTAGAGGAATTCAAGTGTCTATGGATGGTGGGCCTATCACACAATCGAAGTATTGGCTGAGGTGGTAGAGAAGCAAGGCGCAGAACTTCACAGTGAAGAAATAATTTGGGAGGCTACTGATTTCAAAAGCCAGTCAGGCGTAAATTTTAATTTAAGGAATGGACAACTAGATCAATCGGAGAGCTGGAAGTATACAATGTGATAGGAGACAGAGAAAGGGTAATCGGATGTTGGAGCCCTAAAACTAGATTTACTCAAGATTGTAGTAAAGCTGGTAAGAAGTTTGGTGATGAACACCCACTAAAAGATCCATTGTGGCTGGGCGGCACATGGGATTAACCACCCAAGTTGAGAATTGGAGTCCCTAAAACAAATTCTTTTTCTGAATTTGTGAACGCATATAATTTAAGTAAGCTTCGGATTGATACTGGTGGCTTCGCTGTTAATGTGTTCTTAAAAACAATCCAGGTTTTGCCATTTTCGTTAAATAATTATGAGTTTGTTCCCTTGCCAAATACTGACATGACCTTTCATCATCTTCTCTGAGACCAATTGTTGAGAGCGAAGGCAAGTTTTCATTCTTTTTCTTCTTTTAGTTTACAATGTAATGTCAGGTGTGATACTGGTATATACTTAAAAATAGTGATATTCGCGTATTGATGCGCTTACTGTTACTGCCATACGGTTAATAAATTAAAGCTCTAAAGTTAAAAAGAAAATTATGGATTTTACTTCAAATTAGATAATTTTTTTTGACAAAACAAAAAACCACCCACAACACACAACGAAAACTTAGCTTGCTTTAGGCTGTTAGACTTGGTGTTTGATGTGAAAAGCGTGCTCAAGCCTCATTATTTTTTGAATATAAGCTGAATGAGATAATAAGTGAGATCACCAACAGGTGTTTCATCCTCATAAAAGGGGTTTTGGTTGTTTAACCAAAAAGTCTTGAGTTCAAGTCTATATGAATGCAAAAGAGTTCTTTGGGAGGCATACATTTAATTAGACAAGATAATGCTCGAATCTAACCTAGATTAAGCTTAATCTAATAATAATGTCATTAAGCCTTAATGCGATCAGAAACTCATAATACAATTTTTAAATTCTTAAAATAAAAGTAAAAAAATAACAAAAATATTGTAGTGAATAGTTAAATAAGAATAGTCATTAAATTTTTGATAACTCTCAATACATGTTTTGAATTTTTAAAGTAAACATAATCATCCATTAAAAAAAACATAATCAATAATAAAACTAAAGTAGCCAATAACTTAATAAAAATAATCAATAGCTAAATAAGAATAGAACCACCTTTGACACTCCTGTAGAGGGTATTTTTATTTGTCCTCCAGTTACCTCCCTCATATCATATCTTGTGCGTTGAATTATATATATAATAACATTGTTTCCCATCGTACCATAAAACATATTGTAAACTGAATTTCTACGTTCATTCAAACATTGACAATCACTCACCCTTCACTCCTACGATTGCATTGAATACAAGTGGTGCTAGCCACTCGTGTGTTGGTGAGACAGGAACAAGCGTCTCCAATTAACGGTTTAGGGATGAGGCAAAGCTGCGAGCTGGTGAAATGATTCTTCAAGCCAAATCTGTATAATTGAGAATGGCCGAACGGAATAATTGTAAAATTTCAAAGCCAATGGTCGCATCACACCCGAGCGTGGACAATGGCATCAGAGAGTGACACATCCAGGTCCCAATACCATTAAGGTAGTGTTTGGATAAAAACCAAACCATGGTTTCAGAAGTGCTTTTACGGATTACGAAGTAAATATGTGGAGGAGGTTACCTCGTTTTGCGGAAAAGTGCTTCTGAAACCACGGTTTTGGAGCATCCAAACGGAGCCTAAGTTGAACATTGACGTTGGGCTTCGCGAGAAAAGGTCTTCACTTCATTTTCCCTCCATCCCCACATCTGCTTTAGATCTGAAGGAAGGAATGGGAAGATAGAAAGTGGAGGAAAAGGGAGCAGAGAGACCTCTTCTCTAAGGCCCACCTTGCCTCCAGGTTGGAGTGCTCAGGAAACACTCTAAATGGGTAAAAAATTGTAAGGGGCAGTTTTATCTCTCTTTTTTCCGACCGGAAGCACTTTTATCTTCCATTCCTTTGCCCCAGACGCTGTATCAAAAAATGGGAAATAATGGGGGACACGTGTCGCACATCCATTGAACCAAGGTCCATCATATTCATGCTCATCCCGACACCACATTATCCATGTGTTGCGTTCACTCTCCCACATCACTCCAGCTAACGTCATATCTGTTCCCTTTTTTTTTTTTTTTTTAATCAAATAATCATGGAGCACCTCCAAAATTCCGCCTAACTTTTTCTTTAATTAAAAATTACTTTTTTTCAAAAAATAACTAAAAATGAAATGTTCTGATTTTTTCTTTTGTTTTCTCTTAATTATACAGACATGTTCTCTATTTTGAAAGTCCAAACCATTAACGGTTTCAAGAATATTCTGAAAATATTTTTAAATACAAGTGGTATTTAGATTGATTTTTGAAAGAAAATCAAATTAGGGTTCTTAAGGGTATAATTCGGCCATGACTTATTCTTGGGGAAATCTTGGTGCATCTTAAGTTTCATTCCCCTTTCTTTGTTTCCCCTCTTAGAGATTGGGTGAAATTCAACCTTCAGAAAAGTATAGGCAAGAATTCTTCTCTAGAATGGGATTTGGTCTGGGGTGTTGCCATTTGGAAGCTGTGGACTTGGGGCAACTATTCAATCTTCAAGATTGATTTCACGAAACCAACAAATCTTGATTTAATTATCAATCACTCTTGGAAACTGTATGTACAAACCAATGAAGAACCCTTCATAAAGGGTAAACCACAGAGCAAAAATTTGCGATGTGGACACTCCCCCCATCGGGGTGGATTAAAGTCAACGCCGATGGCGCTATGGTATCAACTTCAAATCGAGCAAGCTGTGGGGGAGTCATCAGAGACCACAATGGGAGTTGGATTGCTGGGTTGGCCTATGCACTGGGAACCTGTTCAGCTCTTGAATCTGAGAAATGGGTGGCCTTTAAAGGACTCAAACTAGCTTGGGACATGGGGTTTGAGAAAGTGATAGTTGAATCAGATTCGAAGATTTGATTCAGACGATTACAAACTGTAACCACGGTACCAATCACAATGTTGTGGTTTTTCAATTACTACAGATGCTGAATCTCCAATGGGAAGTACAAATTCTGCATATTTCTAGGCATCAGAATCGTGTTGCTGATTCTTTGGCCAAAGAGGGGCTCTCGTCTTCGGATTTCTTTCCTTCTTGCCCACTTCATCTTTGGACTATGGTAGCTGACGAGAGTTTGGGAACTCCTTCCCCTTCTTCTTAATTTGTAAAGTTGGGCTTTGCCCTCTCCCATGCCAAAAAAAAAATGATTTGGATTCGTTTAGATTTGGATCCAACTTATCTCTTGTTAAATCCTTTCATATCGTTCCATTGATCCCAAGCGTGCAACAATTTATCAAAATTAATTATTTTAATCAGTACCTTTTTATCATCTTAAAGAAACGATATTTCTCAAATTTAAGGTGATTACATAGGAAATATATTAGTGCGATAAACACATTATATATCTTACTCTTTTAATAATCCCCCTCTTGTCATGTTTATTCTTTGTTATTTCAGCAGGCTTATTTTATCTTCGAGGATAAATTTAGAAACAGCTAAGAATAACTTACTTCCCAACAACAACTTCATTGATTTTTTTTTAATGCCAATCCCATTGTATTCTGTCCAAAATAAAATACTCCGATTCTTAATATAAGATTTTAATAACTAATTTGAAAAAAATTAAAAAAATAGACTGAGTTAGTTATTTATAACAAATATGTGTTGATTTCCTTAAATTTCTTTTATTTAATCATAGATATTAAAACTACACTTGGCTGGGAATACTTTATAATCAAAAAGATATTTTTCAGAACATATTATAAATTTGTGAGATAAAATAAATTAAAATCTTATATTTAAGACTTGTTAACTAATTCTTATATTTAAAATAGGAAATAACAGGGTTCCGGTTTTTTCACCGGGGGTCATGCCAATTTCAGTTATGGGCCAAACCCAACCCACTTCGTTTAGATTGAATCTTTCTAGTCACCGGTCAGCACAAGGATAAGGTCGTCATTGCCGGCAATGGCACGGAAGGGGTTGACTAACCATGACGAACATAAACACAGGTCAATGCTTTGCTTTCTAATTTTCCACTCGTTTATTCCGTAGCCTTTTCCAATTATCTTTGGAAAATTTTGGCCAAAAACATTATCTGTGAGAAAATAGAGTCTTTAAAAATTGAAAAATACACCCCATCAAGAAAAAATCTTCTTTTAATAGAGACAGAAAGATGATCCAAAAGGCGCGTTAGTTGTGGAAAATAAGAAGGTTTCCTAAAATCTTCCCCATGGGACCCAAGTTGATGGCATGACCGGAATACCACATTTTAAAAAATTATTTATTTGAAATTAAACTAAACGTATTTTTTTAATAATCAGGTGAAATTTTGAGGTGAATTTTACTATTTATCACGTAAAAATACAGTGGATTTATTATAGCTTTTATAATATATACTGACATTGACATATTGATTAGTGATTTAACTGCACGTCAATTTATATGTTCGAGAAAAAGATATGTCTAATGATTTTTAGTCAGTGGACACTAATAACGAAGAGTAAGAAAATTGTGGGAAACCATAATAGACTTGATGCCTGTTAACGGTGAGCGTGTATTACTGGTGATCGACTGAGATAAGGCAACGGTTTATCTATAATTCATGAGTTTTTATTACTTATTAGCTTTATTGCCATAATATTTAGCTTAAATCTGATCATTTTATATTTTGATATGTTCTTTGCTCCCTCCCTCTCGTTGATCTTTAATTTTAATTTATTAGTTTTTTTCAATTGCTTAAGCTTTTGTTGTTTAGGTTACAGGAGGTCGCCCCCCCCACGTAAGAAATTTGTGACGATCAATGTTACTTGATTTGTAAAGATTGACGCGTCATGGTTCTCTTTCCTCTTATTGCTCTTTTTCAGGATATTAAAAACCGAACTAGTCATTAAGCCGATCGAGTTAATAAGTCAAAAATTGAGTTAGATCGAGTTGACTTGGAGTTAGATTGGTAATAATTAAAAATATATAATTTATATAAAATGTGCACAAAATATTTATATTTAATTATAAAAAACATTTTCAAATTATCACTTGTATAATTTGGCAAGAATAAAAAAATCGTATGAATTTCCATTTACCCCTCTTTATATAATTAAAAATAATTTGTATAGAGAATAGGCCAGCTTTGAAAAAAAGAGGAAAAATCACTGTAACACGCTATGCATGTTGGAGAACAGCTGGAGGCTACGATTATGAGTGAACTTTTCTTCTTGTTTTTTTTAATTTCCTCTGTTTTTCTTTTCAATTTTACTAGTGCTCTACTGCTCTTTTTGTTTTTTTTTTCTCTTCACAGTATTAAAGTAGGTTAAAGATTAATAAGTCAATTCAGAGTCAGACTAATAATAATTAAAAATATATAATTTATATAAAATGTGTACAAAATATTTATATTTAATTAGAAAAAATATTTTCAAATTATCAGATGGTATATAATTTGACAAGAATAAAAGAATCGTATGAATTTCCATTTGCCCCTCCTTATATAATTAAAAATAATTTGTATAGGCTAATACAATGATTGACGTGGGAGGATGGACGAGCTTTGAAAAACAGGAAAAATCACTGCAAGATAGCTTGATGCTATGATTACGACTAACCTTTTTCTTTTTTTTTTTTGTTTTTCTCTGTTTTTCTTTTCGATTTGACTCAACACGGTGCTCTACTGCTCTTTTTGTTTTCTTCTCTCTTCCTCTCTCTGCCTCTCAGACTGTTTGAGTAATGTGTCTTCTCCGGTGGCCTAGAAGTACTTCCTTTATTTTTCCGGTTGCGCTCTTCCTCACACACACACGATGTTCTTCTCAATACACAGTATTCTCAAACAACAAAAGCTCTTACTCCTTCATAATCATTCTCTTCTCTTTTCTATGATTTCTACGCTGAAAACTTCTTCCCTTCTTCTTTTTCAGAGGATCCGAGCCTCTGCGTTCTCTAGACAATTTTCTTTTCCTTTTTTGAAGAGTGACTCGGCAACCTGCCCAACCCAGCGGCTTCCCCGAGTTATAACCGAGTTACCCGAGGTATGACCGAACTATCCCAAGTCACTTCTTTCCCGAGTTAGAGGCCTAATCGGACTGGACAAGTGACTGGTCACCAGTTTCCGATCGACCCGGCTGGTTTGGTCCGGTTTTTAATACCATGCTCTTTACTTTTTATCATTCTTCTTATCCTGTCATTGGCGCAAATTAAAGTGTCGTAAGGACAGACTTGCCGTGGCAAAGCTTTCTGCTCTGGAGAATGGAAATCATGTGCAAATTAATTTCCGTTCTGTGAGAGCTCGCTTCACTTTGATTTACTTGAACATTAACCTGTGTAGAAGCATTCACGAACAAGATGGATATGCCATTTCTGAAACTGCTATCCCATTTTCTGCTTCTCACCTTCTTGAATTTCGCTTCCACTTCTGAAGTAGACATCCCTGTTTACTATGGCCACAACTGCACAAGGAATAAAAACTTCACTTCCCATAGCCCCTACCAGTTCAACCTTCACAATCTTTTATTTTCCTTCCATTCCATGGCCATAGTAAACGGGGATGTCCCCACTCCTGAATTCAACACCACCAGCTTTGGCCGCACAAACACGAGCGACGCCGTATATGGAGAGTACATGTGCCGAGGTGACGTCCCCACTCAGATCTGTCGAGATTGCATTCAGGACGCCAAAAATAGAATAGCCTCGATGTGTCCCTACGACAAAGAGGCAATCATCTGGTACGACGAGTGCTTCCTCCGCTATTCCGACCGCTCTTTCTTCTCCACCCTCCAACAACAGCCTGTTCAACAACAGCCTGTCAGGTGTAGATCATGCTTACTACTCCTCCGGTCTTTATATTTAGGACTCAATTCTTGAATTGGTTTTGGTTCTAAATATAAGACCTATTTCTCATATTTATCATTTTTTTCTAAATTACTCTTATAGATACTCCCTCAACTATAATCAAGTAGAAGAGGGATATGAGATATTAAGAAAAATAATTGTGGTGTTTTAAGAAAAATGTCACTTTTCTTATAATTAACTAACTTATCTAACTTTTTTAATCTAATCAACTTAATTAAATGGATCTTATATTTAGAATTAGAGAAATATCACACATCCAAATCGGAAGTGGAACAGATAAGACAGATAAGGAATTGTACAAGACATTGAATGATGCGGTGGTGGAGGCAGTGACATCAGATACCAAGAAATTCGCAACAAAAGAAGCATACTTGAGTACTGGAGGATCGGTATACACTCTTGCACAGTGCACGCCGGATCTGTCCCTACAATTCTGTGGTGAGTGTCTACATGGCCTTATAGAAGATATTCTGAAGGAGGAGGACTACCAGAGTGGTGGATTTCAGAATCCGAGCTGCAATTTGAGATTCGAAAGATACCGATTTTATTATAAGGACAAGCAGCCTCCCTACGGTGGTTCTACCTTTCAAGGTAACGTTACCATGCTTTTTTTCCCCCCCTTTCCTTTACTTTCCCCTTTCTACGCGCGAGTTGATAATTCGGCTATTTTTATAAGCGGCCAAAAACCATGTAGAAGGAGAAAAGACTTCCTTCGTCGCTGGATTAGTACTCCCACATATTTGATTTTGCTCTGATTTAAGTTTTATGCATGTTATGTTTTTCTTTCTGTGAGATATTTCATAATTGTGTCACTCTACATAAATTTCAAAAAACACAATAAAGTAAAAGTGTAAAATAAATTTATTTTTATATATTCATTAATGATTAGTATAATATATATATATATATAAGAAAACAAAAACATGATATATATATATATAGTTGATTTCTTGTTTATTTATTTTTAATTGTTTCTCAAATATGTTTAGGAATTATAATATTTTGATGTATATACTTTTTTTTTTTTGAAGAGTTGGTTTTTCAAGGGACAATTATATCCAACGAAATCCATCCTTCAGGATAGAACTTACAGCTTCTCTCTCTAAAGAGGTTGGATGATGTTATTGTGATACCATGCCGTTGGTTATTTGGAAAGTTCTCAAATTAAATTAACAATTGAAAATTGGATCCAGTGAGAGTTTCTTTATATTGTTGTCCCGACTCCTAAAAGTCCAGAAAGCTTTTCCATATGTTTCCTTTGTCACCCCCTTTTTTCAGCCTCCTACTTCGACATCAAAGCTATAAATTTAATGTTTTAATTCCTCAATACATTCTTTGCATTAGTTTTTTCTTTTTCATAAAAATGGCACAATCCATTGCACTCTATAATTTTTTTCCTTGGGATTGATTATGTATATTCGTTCAAATTAAAGGTTATATACGCGCACGCTTTTAATAGTTGTCACTAATTTGCACTAAAAAAAATTCAAGGACTAAAGTCAAAGGAGATACGTCTTTGCCAATTTATTTTTTAGTTAACTTTTCCTATTTTTAAATTGAAGATGTGATTGAATTTTTAAGAAAATTATCCAATTAAAGTGAGAGTTAACAAAAAAAAAAATTTGTTCACCTTTCACAAAATGAAAACAACAATTTAGTCGTAATTAAAGTACAATGATGTTTCCTTACTTATTGAAGTATTAATTGGGTATTTATGAATAGTACATCAAGGCCATGACATAGTCATAAACATTTTGTTTCTTTGATTGAAAAGGGTTTGGAAGTCCTGCTCTTGCAGACTCGAACTGCTCGACCACCGAAAGTTTTACTGCCAACGATCCCTACCTAAACAACCTCAAGAGTCTCACTCTCGAGCTCTCCATGTCATCCAACGACACCAAAAGCAATGGATTCCACAACACCACAGTCGGAAACAATTCCAACACTACCGTCTACGGCCTCTTCATGTGTCGGGGTGACGTGCCCCTTGGGCTCTGCCATGAATGCGTCAGTAACGGAATTGACGAACTGAACTTTAGGTGTCCCTCTTCGAAGGAGGCTATCATTTGGTATGACATGTGCATGCTTCGCTACTCCGATTGCTCTTTCTTCTCTACCCAAGAGACACAACCTATATATACAGAAGCTGGTGGGGATATGCATGGAAACCAAACAGATGGCTTCAATAAGCTATTAGCTGCTACATTGAGTGATCTATTGAAGACGATATCAAACTCACCGCCCGTAGGAGCGAAGAATTTTGCAACAAAAAAAGAAGTCAGTCCTTCAGAGCTTACACCATTATATACCCTTGCACAATGTACTCCAAACCTGTCTAGCCAAGATTGCCAAAAATGTCTACAGGATGCTCAGGAACATATGACGTCATGTTGTCTTGGAAAGCGAGGAGGAAATGTCATGAGTCCTAGCTGCAACTTGAGGTTTGAATCGTACCGATTTTATGATGACAGTAAAAGTGCTGTTTCGATGCCTCCTGCACATCCCCCGACTCCCGAAGTTCACATTTCGGGAAATACAGGTAAAGTGATTGGGGATCTAATTAATCATTTTTCTCACGGACATAGTTCACTATATATAAATTGACATTCTTAGTTTGCTCTCAATCTTCTACATACAAACCTGCTCCATTTCTTGTCTATGGCATGCAAATACACACGTGTTAATTTACGCAGGAAAAGATCAGGACCACTCACGAACAATTATAACAGCGGTGTCCCTTACTGTTGTCTCAATCATGCTTTTTTGTTTCGGCTTCTATTACTGGAAGAGAAAAAAGAGCAACAGTTATAAGGCGATTCTGAAGAAAAATTGTATGTATGCTATTTTTTCTCAGAAAAAAGAAAGAAAGAAAGACGAGTCAGTCGACTGTGAGAAAAACTATATTATTGCGGTGTACTTACCTTAAAATGTACATATGTTTATAGTTGGAGCTGAAGGAGCCACATTAGAGTCATTGCAATTCAATTTGGCAACAATTGAAGCTGCAACAGATAAGTTCTCACTTGAAAATAGAATAGGCAAAGGTGGATTTGGAGAAGTCTACATGGTAAATTGATTATGCGATCAAACATGTCTGTTTATGTATATTGTTGATTTTACATAAAGAGACCGTCTACTATATTATGAAAATAGATTGTCAGCCCCTCATTATCTAACTATATTATGATTTCAGGGCATTCTTCCCGATGGTAGCAAAATAGCTGTAAAGAGATTGTCAGAAAAATCAAGTCAGGGCTTATTAGAGTTCAAGAATGAGGTTTTACTAATTGCCAAACTTCAACACAGAAACTTGGTTGCATTATTAGGATTTTGCTTGAAAGATCAAGAGAAAATACTTGTCTATGAATACGTTCCTAACAAGAGCCTCGATTATTTTTTATTCGGTTTGTCCCTTCTAATCAAACTGTTCTTACCATTTTTCAATTTTCCATTCATGTATGATCCATTCTTTTTATTACTCTAAGGTGAATATATATTTATTGTATAATCTGTAATTTGATTTTAGACATAAATTATACATCGCAGTTCAATTGTATGCTCACAAAATAATTTAATTATTTATAGGTTCACAAAAGTCAAGAGTGTTAAATTGGCCAGAGCGTTACAAAATTATAGGAGGAATTGCTCGAGGAGTTATTTATCTTCATGAATACTCACGCGTTAAAATAATACATCGAGATCTCAAACCTAGCAATATTTTGTTAGATGATGAGATGAATCCAAAAATTTCTGATTTTGGAATGGCGAGAATTGTTGGCATTAATGAAACTAGGGGAAACACGAATAGAATTGTTGGAACATTGTAAGTTCTCTATCTCTATGGCCTTGTCTCTCTTTCGCTATATGTATATGTGTGTGCTTATGCATGCATCTTAGCTTTTTATGTATATTTTGCATGTGCACTTTAATTTTCCATTGAATCTAAATATTGATGTAAGACTTTGCTCAAATTATGTGGTGCTAAAATTCCAACATACATTGATACATTTATGTGTGTTTTTTTTTGTAGGGGTTATATGTCTCCAGAATATATCAAGTTTGGACTATTTTCTGAGAAATCAGATATTTACAGCTTTGGAGTCATTGTTTTAGAAATTATAAGTGGAAAGAATATATCTTCTCAATGTGAATCACATGAATCTCAATATGCTGGTGGACTCTTAAGCGATGTAAGTATAGTAAACTTTTAGTGTTTCTCAAATGATCATCTCAAACCGGTCATTATTGTTGTCATCATAAGCATCAACCAACCACTGGAGCTTATGTTAACAAAAATCTATAATCAAATTAGTAGCATGCCCTATTTTAAACTAATGATTTAACATAATGGCAGGCTTGGAAGCATTGGAGGGATGACAATTTGATAGCAATATTGGATTCGAATCTGACAGAAGTTGGGTCACATGGTGAAATAATCAAATGCATCCATATTGGCTTGCTGTGTGTTCAAGGAAATCCAGGAGTTAGGCCTTCCATGAACAAAGTTGTTCAATATCTGAGTAATGATTCAATTCAATTGCCAATTCCTCAAGAGCCAGCATTCTTCATCCATAGTCAAATAGAACCAGTGGAAACCAGTAGGTCAATGGAGGCTCAATTTGCCAACCATAATCAATATTCCATCAATGAAATGTCAGAGAATATAATGTCTCCTCGCTAGATCGCAGGAGGCTTCAACTTTTGTTTTTCTCTACTTGAGAATTGAAGGTTTAGAATTTTTTCTCTTGTTGCATAACACGCGTGGCTTTATTTTTAAAACATGCTTGCAATAAGAATTTGATTATTTCAAACTTGGTTTGCTTTCCGGCCCATTTTTCCTTTGTCTGCCGTCTATTTAGAGGTCATGGCTCTCTAACCTTCTTTCAACTAAAGGGGTTAACACTTGCTTCAATTGGATCCATTAGCAGGCTTCAACCATCCAACAAAACAAGACAAACTATGAAAGTTAAAGCTGATGAACTACGAACAAAATATTAACAATTAATCATAAATCTATAATTTTAGTGCAAGTATCAACTAGGGGAAATTGCAAATAAAGACCCTCCAATATATAAAATAGCTATTAGGGACCCTGAATTTGGAAAATAGCTTCAAAGGACCCGGTCCCAAATTGCAAATATGAAATGATGGTAGAATGTCTAAAATGCCCTCTGTTTTTTTCTCTTTCTTCCTCTCCAGATCATCTTCTCCCCGACCTTGCCTCCTCATTTTCTTCTCTCTCTTCGTTCTCTCTTTCCTCTCCAAGTTTCCTTCCCTCTCCTCACTCCTTTCCCAAATTATATGGAACTCACAATGTCTTTCGGTAGCCCTCTCTTCATTGTCATCCCCCGTCACTTTCTTCTTATCTTGCTTAGCTTCTCTTTCGTCGATAATGAAGCCTCTTCCATCATTCTCTCTGTTGCTGTGGAAGGAGAGGAGAGTCGGGAGTTTAAGGGAGAGTGACAGTCATTTGCAATGCTTATAATGTTTGCTTCCAATGTGTGCGATGATTGCTTGGTACTGAGACAACGCCCAACAAATCTGGATTTTTATTCTTCATTTCTATTTTGATTTTCAGCTTGTGTTCATAATTGAAAATAACAAGTTTGATGAGTTGTTGAAAATAACAAGTTGACAAGTTCTGATATCCACTTCACGACAAGTTCAGTAATGCGAATAACAAGTTTAGCAAGGCAAATAACAACTTCTGATAAGCAATTCATAGAAATTTGAGTTTCTGTGTTAAAATGACAGCATTTTCAGATTTCTTTAGCAGATGACAAGTTCTGATACACAATTCATGACAAGTTCAGTAAGGCGAATTACAAGTTTAGTAAGGCGAATGACAACTTCTGATAAGCAATTCATAGAAATTTGAGTTTCTGTGTTAAAATGACAGGTTCCCATTAGGTTTTCATACTTTTTTCTATTAAAATGACTGGGTTTCCACATTGATTTATCAAATGACAGGTTTACAATAGAAAATGACAAGTTTCCATAAGATTTTTATACATTTTCATACTCTTTTTGCTGGAATTACAGTTCATACATTTCTGACAGCAATCACTTCTGATAAACACAAAATGACAAGTTCACAATGAAAAATAACAAGTTAAGTATGGCAAATGACAAGTTCTCATAACGTTTTCATACATTTTCATACTTTTTCTGCTAGAATTACAATTTGCACATTTCTAACAGCACCCACTTCTGATAATTGCAAACAAGCTCTAAATTGTGGAAATCAAGTATGATGATTGTATTTCGGTGGATAAATCGATCAAGGTGTGGGATGTGAGGAACAAACGAGCCCTAAATACAGTGCTAAACGAATAAAGTTCTCGTTTTATATGTAGAATTTGATGGTTTCTTGTTCATATGATATGACAATTTACATTTGGGATTTCATGGTTGAGGATGCACTAGTGAGTGGATATGATCATCGTAGTGCATTTGCCACTGGTGTTGATATGAGCATGCTTCTTGAGGGGCTTATGAGAGTTCTGGTGCTATAATTTTATACATTAGGAGGAAATAAGAGGTGAAATTGATTATGAAAGATGTTAATCAAAAGTTGTTGCTGTCAGAAATCTGCATATTGTTATTTCAGCAGAGAAATTTACGTTTGTATGAAAACATGATGGGAACTTGTCATTTTACATACTTGTCATTCGCTATTATGGACTTGTAATTTACTGTTTATCAAAAGTGTTTGCTGTCAGAAATCTGCACATTGTTATTTTAACAGAGAAATTTACAATTGTATGGAAATGTTATGGGAACTTGTCATTTTACATATTTAACTTGTCATTCGCTATTGTGGACTTGTCATTTACTGTTTATCAAAAGTGGTTGCTATCAGCAATGTGCAAATTGTAATCCCAGCAGAAAAAGTATGAAAATGTATGAAAACATTATGAGAACTTGTCATTTGCCATACTTAACTTGTCATTTTCCATTATGAACTTGTCATTTTGTGTTTATCAAAAGTGGGTGCTGTCAGAAATGTGCAAATTATAATTCCAATAGAAAAAGTATGAAAATGTATGAAAACATTATGGGAATTTGTCATTTGCTATACTTAACTTGCCATTTTTCATTCTAAATTTGTCATTTTGTATTTATCAGAAGTTGTTGCTGTCAGAAATGTGCAAAACTGTAATTCCAGCAAAAAGAGTATGAAAATGTATAAAAATCTTATGGAAACTTGTCATTTTCTATTGTAAACCTGTCATTTGATAAATCAATGTGGAAACCCAGTCATTTTAATAGAAAAAAGTATGAAAACCTAATGGGAACCTGTCATTTTAACACAAACTCAAATTTCTATGAATTGCTTATCAGAAGTTGTCATTCGCCTTACTAAACTTGTAATTCGCCTTACTGAACTTGTCATGAATTGTGTATCAGAACTTGTCATCTGCTAAAGAAATCTGAAAATGCTGTCATTTTAACACAGAAACTCAAATTTCTATGAATTGCTTATCAGAAGTTGTTATTTGCCTTGCTAAACTTGTTATTCGCATTACTGAACTTGTCGTGAAGTGGATATCAGAACTTGTCAACTTGTTATTTTCAACAACTCATCAAACTTGTTATTTTCAATTATGAACACAAGCTGAAAATCAAAATAGAAATGAAGAATAAAAATCCAGATTTGTTGGGCGTTGTCTCAGTACCAAGCAATCATCGCACACATTGGAAGCAAACATTATAAGCATTGCAAATGACTGTCACTCTCCCTTAAACTCCCGACTCTCCTCTCCTTCCACAGCAACAGAGAGAATGATGGAAGAGGCTTCATTATCGACGAAAGAGAAGCTAAGCAAGATAAGAAGAAAGTGACGGGGGATGACAATGAAGAGAGGGCTACCGAAAGACATTGTGAGTTCCATATAATTTGGGAAAGGAGTGAGGAGAGGGAAGGAAACTTGGAGAGGAAAGAGAGAACGAAGAGAGAGAAGAAAATGAGGAGGCAAGGTCGGGGAGAAGATGATCTGGAGAGGAAGAAAGAGAAAAAAACAGAGGGCATTTTAGACATTCTACCATCATTTCATATTTGCAATTTGGGACCGGGTCCTTTGAAGCTATTTTCCAAATTCAGGGTCCCTAATAGCTATTTTATATATTGGAGGGTCTTTATTTGCAATTTTCCCTATCAACTACGTACATTTTCCTATCATAAATACTTTTAAATATATATTAATTCACCAAAAAGTATGATAACTAAGGGAAAACATGATGAAATAACATGAATTTCACGACGTTATGTAGCAAAGGCTCTATCTTTGTATGTGGGCAATACTTCAATCTTGTAGATACCAAGTTGAGCAATTGGTGTTTAGGAAAAAGAATAAATCAAAGCCTTGTCCTCGGGAGTAAAAGAATACACTCGACAACACTTCATTTTAGAGCATGATTCTTTACTTCCAAATCAGTTGGTAAGCTCCAGATTTGAGAATGCCATAAAAAAGCATGTTTCTGTGGAACTGACAACTAAATTGAATCATCGCTGAGATCTATATAATATAAAATAATTCTTGTTGAAACTAGTTTCAATACTCATCATCGTGATGAATGCTATAATGCTCATCGAATTTCAACTATTTAAATTTAATATGGATGGCTAAGATTTAATTTTTTATATCTTTGTTTTTAAAAAATGTTTTCCTTTAATAGATAGATAATTCAAAATAAATGTAATTTTTCAACTATAATTTTTTTAAAAAATAATTTCTTCATTTAAAAATTATTTGTTAAAAATTTTAAATCTAGACCATTAAAACTATATTTGAATGGTATAGATTTTACTGTAACAATAAGTATCTCAATGTTCATCACTGCGATGAGTGCCAAGACTGGTTCTAATTGCAACCATGCACAAAGGCTTGATTTGCATTTGGATTTTCTTGAATAGAAAACAACTTGATGCAAATGGATGCACTTAATCAGTTCATTACATTATCTGAATTCATTATTTATGCTTGAATCTAATATCTCTATCAGCTTTATCATACCCCCACCGCCCCACTGATTACAAGTTTGTAACAATTAAGTAAAACAAATTATTATAATAATCTCCCTTTCATTATTAATTGCCATATATGTTGAATCTCCAGAATATTACTCGTACATTGCATATTTTGAAGACATTTAAACACTGAAAAAGAAAAATATTAATAACAACATTTTTATACAATACATAATAAGAACATTAATTGAGACGTTCAATGATTAGTTGAGATGTAAATTATTGAATCTCTTCTTAGGAACACTTCTTTTTCTTCATTTAATTCAACTATATCAAAATAGATGTAGAGCTTAAAGAGAGAAGATTTAGAACTTACTATGTCCCAACTATTTTATTTGTACTTCATTTGTGTTGATAGCAACCATTTTAACTAAGCCAACATATGATATTTTTGGATTCACTTTATCATCTAATAAAATATTGTTTGGTTTATCATGATGTATAATTTTAAGACAAGAATATTCATTGATATATAAAATTTCTTGAGCAACTACTGCAATGATTTTACAACGCTCTACCCAATTTAGTGCTTTGCCTTTCTGGAAACCTGTACATATATTGTTGCGAGTGACTATATATATAGAGACAAAATAAAGGGAATCTAATTATAGACAATTAACTCCAACATATATCAGATAGCGTGAACAACAAATTTCAGTAAGAGTTAAAGAAGGTATAGATTGTCAAAACAAATAAAAAGTAGTCAAGGTTCCGAACATATTCATCATAAACAAGGATTTCTCTTGTTCTTCTATGCAAAATCCAAGCAAGGCCACCAAGTTTATGTGCTGAAGTTTGGCAATTAATAAAACCTCGTTCTTGAATTCCTCTCCACCTTGACCAGAATTTTTTGAAAGTCTCTTGACGGCTATTTCTTGACCATTTGAAAGAACACCCTTGAACACCCTAGCACTCGTCGTACCAGATTATTGCCTCCTTCGAAGTTCTGCACTCGGAAGATAATCTTTGGGTGGCGGTAAAGACGTTTTGTTTCAGCTTTGCTTTTATTTATTCTTTCCCGCCACCCTTTGCTTCTTCACTGTTCCATCGTTTCTGTAAAATTTTCCAATTTTCAGTTGAAAAATGAACCTCAAAACTCATTGGAAAAACCTACTGGGCCGGGGTAGTGCACGGATTCTCTCTAGGGACAGCAAGGTCATTTACTTTGTAAGCTCTTGTTTATTTAATGTCATTTTGTCTTGTTCCCAAAAAAATAAAAACACCAAAGTCATTTTACGCTATTTGTGCTTTAAGCTTTTGAAAAAAATTAAAATTAAAAGTTTGTTTCTGACTTAATTGTTTAAACTTTAAAGATCTCCTTCATTTAATATTCTTTTTAAGATGTGTATTCAATAATTTATATTTATAGTCCCCACGGATTAACATATCATTCATTCCTCTAGATAAATACATAAATTTCTAATTAAGTAAAAAGTTTTAAGCAGTTGTACAGACGAAATCTCTGATGCTCACATACGGACATGCGCATAAGATCTCCCAGCAGCTCAAATTAAATTTTGTGTATTGCAATTATTATTATCTGAAAACAGATATTACTACAAATGGTTTTAAATTAGTAAACGTTATATGTTACTGTTTATGACGATAATTTCATATCAGACATATATTTGAGTAACCTTGCTCGTTAAATAAAATACTCTATTTATTTGTTCTCTGTAGTTATAATATTTGAAATGTACATGTGACGTAAGGGTCAGTGAGGGTGATATGTATTTTTTAAAAAAATAAGTGAGACTAATAACTTTTACTATCGAGATATACTCCGCTACTCTGTCAGCCTTAAATGTAAGACCTATTTTATAGTATATACTACACTGTAAAATAAATTTTATATTTAAAACCGAAAGAGTATAAATATCGCATTACCTGGCCTTTTGTATCTTTAGTCTGGAGATGCAAACAAAAAGGGAAAACAGATCTCCGGCTTCTTCACCTTGTTTCTCTCTGGGTTCTGGATCCCGGGATTGAACTTGAAACTGATATAGAGAGTGGGCTGTACACACTAGGAAGAGGATTCTCTCCTCTACCTAGCCTTTTTAATCTTCAATTTTTGTTCTGAAGATGCAAGGATCTTCTTTGATACATTTAATACTTTATGAAAAATGCTTACATATAACTGAATTAATGTAATTATGGTAATTTTGACCATGTTTCATACCAACAAATACATAAAAATACCGCTCAAATTTTATATTTAAAAGAAAAAATTAGATTTATTATTATTGTAAAACGGGGATGTAGGCAAATAATCAAGATCAGCTAGGAATTTCCCGATGATGCCGCTTTTGTATAACGAATGAATCTGGGGGCTAAAAAGTACAGTGTTATTTTCGTTTGTTTTTATTGATTTAATAGTGTTGTTAAATTTATTATAATAATTAAAAGTAATTTTAATTTCATGCAAAAAGAACAGCAAAGAAATTTTGTAGAAAGCCACGCAAATTTTTTTGTATTATGTGTATG